GGGGGGGAGAGGGGGGGATTGAGGCAGTGTTTCTCTGTGGCTTTGGAGGCTGTCCTGGAACTAGCACTTGTAGACCAGGCTGGTCTCGAACTCAGAGATCCGCCTGCCTCTGCCTCCTGAGTGCTGGGATTAAAGTTTCTTGACTTTTAAAACAGTTCATTGTTGTGTGTGTGTGTGCATGATGTATATGTGTGAATGAAGGAGCTCAATGTAGAGGTCATAGGACACTGTTGACTTGGGATTCTCCTTCCTCCTTTACATGGGTTCCAATAATTTAACTCAGATGCCAGGCCTGTGAAGCAAGCACTTGGATGCACCAAGCCATCTTGCCAGCCTTCTTCTTACATTTTGATAGAATCACAGGCTGATGAATAGGCAATGGACTTATGGCCTGCTATTTTACCATTGTATAAGCTTGCTAAGGCTTCCTCTTACCCCATCTAAAAAGCTGGGTGCAATATCTAAAATTTTAGTACTTATAAAGGCAGAGGTAGGAAGATCACACATTTGAGATTCTAGGACCTAGTGAAATGGTTAAAAAAGAATCAGTTTTATGTATAAATATGGCCTTTTAGAAAGAGATTATCTTAGGCTCAGAGGGAGATGATGAGAAAGGGGATACAGATTTCTCAGGGTCACACAGCTAGAAATCAGGCAACCAAGGTTGCACCTCTAAACAGAAAGACCAAGCCCTTGGTCTTCCTGCCTGTGTTAGGGTACAGGAGTAGAACAGTTTCCACAAGATACCAACACTCACTGGGTGTTGGCGCACGCCTTCTAGTCTCTCACTTTGATAGGCAGAGGCAGGTGGATCTCTTGAGTTCGAGGCCAGCCTGGTCTATAAAGCAAGATCCAGGGCAGACAGTGCTGTTACACAGAGAAACCCTGTCTCAACAAACAAGATACCAATACTCTCGTCTGCTCCAGGGGTGGCTGCCGAAAACCATCATCAACCAGGTCTTATCACAAACCCAGATGGAGTTTGCCAACCACCTGCGCAAGCGCCTGGAGTCCAGCTCTGCCTGAGGCCGGTGTTAAAGGCTGTACCCACTACATCAACCTGCATGCCATCAGCAGCCTCCCGAAGGAAGACTGCAAGTCTGTTTAAAATCTTCAGTTGATGACTATGGGAGGGGTAGTAGTTATCAGACACTAGGACTGACTGGTGAAAAATGACCATCAGGAAATTAGAAATGAGGCTGAGAGGAAGAGACCTCAGTCTCTCACTGATTAGCTGTGAAGTGGAGCTAAGAGATAGACATCTGTTAAACCTTTTATCTAGGCCTGAATATGCTCACCTAAAACACCCTACTCAAAATGCCAGTAGCTGACGTGACAAGGAACTGTTGTCTTCTGAGCTCAAAGCCACTGACTGAAGCAGTGTGTGCACATAGCAAGGTTTCCCCAGGGGACTCCAGTGACCTTCTGCTCCTCCATAAAAGGCCCAGAACGTCAAACTCCTCACAAACAAACCCTTCCAGAGTATATGCCAAGTTCTCTCTAAGGAGGAAGGAAACTAATTATTACATTGGTTTTCCCTACTTATTCCATCACAATAAAGCACCATACATGCAAATTTCAGCCTGTACTTGTCAAGTCCTACGCCACAGAATCTGTCCTGGGAGCCACCGCTTCATTAGAGCTCTTGACCAAGACTGTGGGTTCCAATTTCCTAGTTCATTAGAGGGAACAAAACTTCACATTTATCACTTGATTGTTTAGACTCTTTCCTAAACATGCAATTTTATAACGAACACAACTCTAAATTGGTTCTTAAAGAACTCTAGCCAAAAGCCACTGTGATGGCACATGTCTTTAATCCCAGCACTTAGGCAACACAAACAGGTGGATCTCTAACACTGAGGCCAGCCTGGTCTACATAAGATAGCCAGAGCTACACGGTGAGACCCTGTCTCAAGAACACAAAAATGGGTTGGAGACATGACTCAACAGTTGGAGCACTGGCTGCTCTTCTAGGGGATCCAGGTTCAGTTCCCAGCGCTCACAACTGTAATTGCAGACCCAGGGAATCTGATATCCTCTTCTGTGGGCACCAGACACACACATAACATGGTACACACAGGTTGAACATGCATAATCATTAAAAAAAACAAAACCCAAAAAGCACAACAACCTCTAGTCAGGTACCATGGCTCTACAGCTGGAATCTCAACACTCCAAATGATAGCACAAGTAAACTGCCCTATGCTCCAGACAAGCTTGAACCACTGTGACACCATTTCATAACAAAAGCAGAACTCTTCAGAGCTATCAGTTAAGATTAATAGCACTAAAAGAGGAAGGTTATAACAGGGTTTTCACTTACTTAATTAAAAGGATAATATCAAATAAGAAATCCTGACCAATAAATGCTAAGATAAAATGACTATGTCTATTGTTTATGAGGTTAGCTAGTAATAAACAGGCTAGAAAGATGTCAGTTTGGCTCAGAGCTAGCAACTTCCTTGTTTGAAAAGCTTAAAATATTATCATTTGGGAAAAGAGAATAGCTAGAAGGCAATACAGTGATAAATTCCTGTTCCATGATTTGGAGGAATTATGCTTTAAAGATTTGAGTTGGGGACTAACAAAATGACTCAGTGTGTAAAAGTGTTTGCCACCAAGCCTGATGACTCACGTTTGACTCTTGGAACCCACATAAATGTGGCAGGAGGGAACTGAAAAAGCAATTCTACAGAACTTCCATTTCTCCACTCGCTTGCCCTCACCCATACTGAAAACCTTTACATAAACACATGTATACGGGAACATACTGGAATCCCTTTGTTGAATGTGTTAAGGATGAAAACAACTATTACGACTAAAGCTTTTCACTGTCAGAGCAGGCAGCAAGCACTTTTATCTGCATGCCATCTTGCCAGCCCATTTTTCTGTCCTTTACAGTCTTAGTATTGGTAATTTCCATCTTTTGCAAAAAATTCTAGCTTATTTATGAGCAAAGCAACAGTGGGAACACTTATGTATTGAGGTCTTAGGATTTAACAACTGAAGATTTATTGTAACTCATTCTGGTTGCTTTCCAGTCTACTTCTGACACAGATGAGACTGTTGCCCACCCAGAGCTGCAGGGTGAGGAAGGGCAGTTGTTGAGCTTTTCTGCTACAACTGTCACCGTGGTCAGCTAAGAGAAAGCAGCCGCTTGCTGACAGCTTCGGGAAAGGCTGATGGAGAGGAAAAAGGCCTCAAACACTGAACTATCCTTTGCTCCTTCACACCTTGCAACTAGATCTTTGTACTGTCTGACATGTTTTGCCCCTTTGCTTAATCTTACATTTGCTAGTTGTCAATTGTAATCTGTAACACAGTAAATAAAAGACCCAGAGATGGATACTGGGGTTCAAGCTTCAAGCTCCCACTGTCACTAAGAGGGACTCAAGTGAAGCCACATATGACACAAGCTTGAAAACAAGTTTTATTGGAGAAAAGATCTAACTGTTAAACCTGCAGGCAAATTCCTTTCACAATTACAGTTCGTAGAAACCCACTAGCTTCACAGATCCCCAAACTCCACACCAAAAAAAGATAGCTTTTAGACTGCTTTGGAATGTACTGCCACTGATTCCAGCCACTCTCAGAAACAAGTATGCCTCTTCAGAAACCAGGAGGGACACAGACATCTTTAATACACTACCTGCAAGGGCAGTTATGTGGTACAGCACCAGTTTCACAGGGAGCCTGTGGGCCCTTCGGAATCAGCAGCTGTTGACTTATGGCACTCACAAAGTAAGAGTGGTAGCTGCAAGTGGGGGGTAGTGGTGAAGGGCAGGGCATCTGCTGCAGTCCCACCCACCAGACTCTCTGACCTCGACAAAAAGTGTATTGCAGCATCTTTGGAAGAACATTTGACACTTGATAAACAAAAGCAAAAACCCAGTATTACTCCACAGAAAGCTGTGTGAAGCGAGGATGGGTTAGGGCTCCCAGGGTGGACTGCGCCTTCCGTCCACTTCTGTCTCCACATGGTACAGAACATCTGCCAGTGTGTGTTCTACCACAGCACCCCAGCCCATGTCGCTCATCTGCAGGAGGAATAAGAGACAAACAGGTAAACCAGTGATTACAAAAGCCATGGCAAGAAATAAAAATATGGAGGATGCATGCAGACATTTCAGTGGTACTCACAGGGTGGTAAGTCAGATCCTTTGGAGGATATTTGAAGGATGGTCCAAAGTTAATGGAAACCTGGGATAAGTTCAATTCAAGCAGACACAGGGAAAAAAAAAAATGAAAAAGAAAACAAAAGTTCATTTGGCAGGGGATATTTAAAGGAAAACTACAGGAAGTAGAAACTGTGGTGCATGCCTGTAAACCCGAGCACTAGAGAGGTGGAGGCAGGAGGATCCTGGGGTTGAGTCTATCCAGACCATGCCTGTAAACCCGAGCACTAGAGAGGTGGAGGCAGGAGGATCCTGGGTTTGAGTCTAGCTTGAACTACCCAGTAGATCCTGTTTTAAAATAAAAACAATGTTGCTAAGATACTTAGGGTAAAATTGTAATAAAAAATATGTATATTAACATTGACAAAAGTAGTCAACACCCTCATCTCAATCAAGCACCAGGTAGAAATAGACTTCCCATTGATTTCTGTTTGGAGCCTAGAGATTTTCTAATTTTACTTTTGTTCAGTGGGAGGCAGTGACACTAATACATGGGAATCTCCATGCACTAATTTTCTCCTTTTAAACAAGCAATAATGCAGTAATGATAGTCCCTTTCTTCATGCAGGAATTGTTTTTTTTTTTTTTTTTTGAGACAGGGTCTTGCTGTATAGGTCTGGCTGTCATGAAACTCACTGAGTAGGTCAGGCTGGCCTTGAACTCAGAGAGATCAGCATGCCATGCCTCTGCCCCCCAAATGCTGGGATTAAAGGTGTGTACCACCATGACAGGATATGTGTGTGCATGTATTTTTAAGTATAAACAACAGCTACCAATGGCATTAACATATGATATCATCAAACATGAGACACCAATGACTCACAAATGCATATGCTTTGTATCATTCACACTAAACAGATACCTGCAAAGCATGGTACATACTAACATCTGCAAATCCTTTTTTTTTTTTTTTTGATTTATTTTTATTTTATTTACATCGGTATTTTGCCTACTTGTATGTCTGTGTTGCCTGCATGTATGTCTGTGTGCGGGTAACAGATCTTGGAGTTACAGACAGTTGTGAGCTGTCATGTGGGTGCTGAGAATTGAACCTGGGTCCTCTGGAGACAGTGCTCTTAACCCCTGAGCCATCTCTCCAGCCCTGCAAATCCTTCTTGAGACATCCAGATGTGTGCATATTTTCAGGCCTTCCAGAGGCTGTTCAGATTTTCTTTCTAGAAACAACTCTGCTCTCTAATCAATGGTTCTTTCATCACAACCCACCCACACACTTCCTTTAAGTTATGTGCACAGACCAACACAGGGTACATACCGTGCAGCTCTTGTACAGAGAGATGGCCGGAAAGTAAACTCCCTCAAAAATATCTTTGTAAGCCACACCCTGATTGACACCATTTTTATAAAATATTATCTGAAACAAAGATCAAGATTTTACTTCAGAATTTTTTCCAAGGTTTTATGTTTGCTTTTGTTTACTTAGTTATTTTTTAATTTAAATTCTTTAATTACCACTCATTCACATATCCATCCACTCATTCCCTCGCCCTCATCCTCCCATGTTTCATACCAACTCCCCCAACCCATCCCCCAACTCCTCCCCAGGGACAGTGAGGCCCTCCACCAGGGACTTTCAAAGTCTGTCATATCGTTTGTGGGAGGGCCCAGGCCCTCCCTGTTTACTTCAGAATTTTAAAAATTGAAAAAAATATGAAAAACCCACTTCAATTGTGGAACACTTAATGCTGCTACCAGAATGACAATATACTTGTTCTAGGAATAGCATACATTTTATATAGTAATAGTATCTTAAATTTATATGCTACTTTAGACTTTTCAAGTAAAATTAATGTAAACATATTATTTCAGTTGACTTTATGCTTATTTGTTTTTTAATTTCCATGCTATATATACCAAACAGTTCAATATGGAGGAGGGATTGAGACAGCCTCATGTAGTCTAGGCTGGCCTCCATCTCACTCTGCAGCTGAGAGTGACCCTAAACTTACACTTAGACCTGATAAGCACTGTGCTTACAGGCAGGCATGTGCCACACCCGCTTCAATACACCATATTTGTAAGACGTATCAGAAAGACTTTCCTTTCTGGAAAGAATTTTTATGGCCTGTTTCAGCTTTTAATTGATAAAATTTCTTCCGGCAAAACATTCAGAACGCTAGTTTTTTTATCTTACAGGTCTTCTACTGACCCATGTGGCTTCTCAGAACCTTATTGCTCCCCACTCCCCTTTCTTTTTTGAGCTCTGGCCCTTGAGGTTGACTCAGACGAGCCTGGCAAGGGAAGGCAAGGAGAATTCTAGAGCACAGAGTGAGCCATCCAGCCCGTGGTCACACCAAGTGACACAGCAGTCTCCTCTAGTTCTGGTCTCCCTCTGTATTTGGCATTTCCTTCAAAAAGAATGGCATCTCATTGGCTTCTTTTTCTTCTTTTATAAAGATTTATTTATTAAGCATACAATGTTCTGCTGGCATGCATACCTACACCCCAGAAGAGGGCACCAGATCTCAATATAGATGGCTGTGAGCCACCATGTGGTTGCTGGTAATTGAACTCAGGACCTCTGGAAGAGCAGCCAGTGCTCTGAACTATCTCTCCAGCCCCCTCACTGGCTTCTTTAATCTCCTGCATGGTTACTTATCAGGTCACTGTCTTTGTAGCCCTTCCTTAGAGTTCCAGAAAGAACACTCTAAAGAGACATAGGACACAGGGAGCACAAGAGTTCTCAGCAGCAGGCAGTCATGCTTCCCAGTATCCCTCAGCTGTCTCACTCGAGACAGTTCTAGAACTCGCTCTGTAGACAAGGCTGGCCTCGAATTCAGAGAGATCCAACTGCCTCTGCCTCCCAAGTGCTGGAGTGAAGGTGTGTGACACCACAGCTGCCTCTTTTATCCTCAAGGAGTCGACACCACCCCACCAGGTTCAAAGCACTGTTATTCTGACATGTTTATCACTGTGACTCACCTCACTATGGGGAGTTTGTTTTAGGCTCTTCTCTGCTTTGTCCACAAAGTCTTTTTCTTCAAAATACAAGTAACTCTTGAACTTTATCAAAGCCTTGAAAACCCAGTGAGAAAAAGAAAAAGACATTAAACAGTCAGATACATCATCATGGAGAAAATAGATTCACACAAATGGTGCCATGTCCTGCAAAGTCTTTGCCTTTGGTGAATTTTTCAGTTCCTAAGTGTTTTTTGTTTTGTCAAGACAGGGTCTCACTATGTATAGCTCTGGCTGTCCTGGAACTCATGATGTAGACTAGGCTGGCCTTGAATTCAGAGGTCTGCCTGCCTCTTGCCTCCCAAGTGCTGGGATTAAAGGCATGCACCAACACCACCTGGCTCCTAAGTGGTTTTTAAAAGAGACTACCTGGCCATGTTTGTTAAACATTTTCCAAAAAAGGCCTCAGAAAGAGAATTATACATACATGCTTAAAAAACACAAAGTATATATAAAAGAAAGTAAATTAATTGAAAAATTATGGGGAAAAATTTCACAGAGCCTAAAACTTACTCTAACATTTTTGGGATCACTGGAAGAGTTACTTGTTTGGTGGTTTGATTTTTACTAACATACCAAGAAATCCAGGAGAGAACGCAAGAAGTTAAACAGATCATGTTGGAATATTTTGATATTCTTAAGAAAAAAAAAATATAAGCTCAACCTGCCCACCAAAGTTAAGTTATCAGTGACCTAATGCAAGGTCAAAGGTAAAGATGGGAGGATATTTTCATGACTTGTGGGTACACCAACATTTATTAAGTCACAGAAAGAAACAAGAAAAATCTGAGGAAAGTGACTTCATAAACACTAACATTTTGGTTTATCAGAAGAGACATTAGGGCTGGAGAGACGGCTCTGGTTAGGAGCAGGCACTGCTCTTGCAGAACCCCTGAGTTTGGTTCCCAGTCCCATTGTGAGGTGGCTCACAACCGCTTGTAACTGCAACTATAGTGGGGTCAAACTGACACATCTGACCTTCATGGGCGGCACATTCAGTTGTACACACCCCTATTATATACACATAATTAAAACTGAACAGAGGGTCAGGGCTGGAGAGATGGCTTAGTGGTTAAAATCACTGGTTGCTCTTCCAGAGTTCCTGAGTTCAAATCCCAGCATTTACATGGCGGCTCTATAATGGGATCCAACGCCCTCTTCTGGTGTGTAGATGTACATGCAGACAAAGCACCCATATACATAAATAAATCTTTAAGTAGTAACAACAATAATTAAAAAAACAAGTCCAGTCCTAGGGGATCCACTGTCTTACTTTGGACTCTGGGAACCAGGTACCCACATAGTGCACATACATACATGGAGACAAAACACTGATAAAATAAACAGATTTAAATTTTTCTTGTTCAGACAGGGTTTCTCTGTGTAGCTGTCCAGGAACTCAAAGATCTGTTTGCTTCTTCCTCTCAAATGTGGTGATTAAATGCGTGTGCCACCACCACTTGGTAATTTAAAAAAATTTTAAGGGGGACTGGAGACGGTTCCAAAGCTAAGAGCAACTGCTCCCTTCCAGAGAGGACTGAGTTTGATTCACAGTATTTACATGACAACTCAAACCATCTGGATCTCCAGTTCCAGGGGATCCAATTCCCTCTTCAGGAACCAGATGCACACATGGTGCATATATACACACACATGCAGGCAAAACACTAACATACACAAAAACTTAAAAAGAAAAAAGTAGTAAGATGTGGCTCAGTGGTAAGGTGCTGGCCTAGCATGTAGAAGGCTTTGGCCTTGACTTTTTTTTATTTATTATGTATACAACATTCTGCTTCCATGTATATATATCTGCACACCAGAAGAGGGCACCAGATCTCATAACAGATGGTTGTGAGCCACCAAGTGGTTGCTGGGGAATTGAACTCAGGACCTCTGGGAAGAGCAGTCAGTGCTCTTAACCTCTGAGCCATCTCTCCAGCCCTGGGCTTGACTTTTAAACACTAAAATATCCTTAAAATAAAACCTGGGGAAAATTCTGTACCTGAACAAAACAAACAAACAAACAAAAAAAACCTTAAAATTTGTGTATTTCACACACATATACAAAATCAAAGATGAACAATGACTGACTGACTATACATTTCCTAAAGTACCTATTGGGAGAATTACAATGATATCCACCAATTTCCCAATGGTACATAATAAAAAGGAATGATAACATGCTAATGGTAGAATTTAGGTGACTACTCAGGTACTAAACCTTAATTCTTTCAATTTTATTGCTATGTCTGAAAACATTCATATGAAAAGATTTGGAAAGCACACATGCCCGCACCCACCCCACCATGGGGCACCATCACAAGAGAACTTAAGTAACAGCTATAGGCACTGACTGCCACAGGTTGTCAAAGCCAGGATGCTGCTGAAGGAGAACAATCTCACCTTATCTTTGTAAGTATCCGGCAGTGATTTGGCTGTCTCTGTATCTTCGGGAAGATTGATATAAAACCCTAGGACATCTCCTTGTCCATAGCCAGATGAGTAGTGTTTGCCAATAGACTGGTGGAACTTGGTTCCTTTTTTGCTCCTCCAAGAATAGCTAAATTTATCGTAACCTAAGGGAGCTTGAAGGTTACCTGTCCCAATGAAAAGACACGTGGAAATCAGAGGGCTATAGTTAACTCTCATTCTACTTTTCTTTGTATATCTTTTTGGTCAACTTTGTGAGGTGCTTACAAACTATCTCTACAGTAGTCTAGGAATATCAAACTTGCTACTTCTTCAGGAATTTAATTTTAAGACAATAACCTGATAAACCCAGTAATACTAAATCACAAGCCAGATTACCCCTGCTGTGAGGCCCCAGCTTACCCAAGGGCTGGGACCAGCCCAGCCTGGCAGCAGTATCTGGTGGCATCTCATCCACAGTGATTTCAAAGTACCAGGCACCTTTTCGTACCCCATGGGAGGCCCGTACCATGGAGTAGCCCTTCTCTCCAACCACAGTCAACCGGTCGTCAGAGATCTTTAACTGGGGAGCTGCAGTTTAAGAGATTCAAAGGAGGGTAGTTATTTGAGGGACTCACAGAACTGAATCCCTTATACTGCACAAAGATAAAAAAAATTAGGTGTAGTGGCACACACCTTTAATCCTAGCACTTGGGAGACACAGGCTGACTTCTCTGAAATCAAGGCCAGCCTGGTCAACAGAGTGAGTCCCAGGAAAGCCAGGGTAACATAGTGAGACCCTGTCTTAAAAACAAATAAAAAGATTGTAAAAAAGTAAAGAAAGGCAAGAATTCTAGTCAAGTGTCTATGGTCCAGCATAGTTTAAGAGTCCCTTCTAGGGGGCTGGAGAAGTGGCTAGGAAGTTAAGAGCCCTGGCTGTTCTTCCAGAGGTCCTGAGTTCAATTCCCAACAACCACATGGTGGCTCACAACCATCTGTAATGAGATATGGTGCCCTCTTCTGGCATGCAGGCATACATGTAGGCAGAATACTATATACATAATAAAAAAATCTTAAAAAAAAAAAAAAAGAGTCCCTTCTGTCAGTTTCTCTAAATGGCACCATCTGTAACCACAACACTGCTACTTAGGGAGGCTACAGTGGGATCCCTGAAGTCCAGAAGTCTGAGGGCAGCTTAGGCAAACCAGTTAAAAACAAACAAAAATCTCAAGAAACAAACAAAAAAAGAGGAAAAACAATTAGAGAAAATTAACAGTGATGTAAAGCAGGCATGCAAATATGAGCAGGCTTGTGGGACACTGGGCGGGGGCGGGCTTTCCCTGCTACCCAGTGGCTTGTAAAACTAAGAACTGGCACTTCAGCACAACCTCAGAACAACGGGGCCTAAGCCTCATCAATCTGCAAAGGGAGATGACAACTGAACAACTTATCCTGCCTCCAGGAGACAAGAGCATCTTCAAATAGGCCAATTACCCAATCACACATTTCCTCTCATCCAGAACTAACTCAACATTATATACCATTAGAATTAGAAATGCTAACAGGTGTTGGTGGCGCATGCCTTTAATCCCAGCACTTGGGAGGCAGAGGCAGGCGGATCTCTGTGAGTTAGAGGCCAGCCTGGTCTCCAGAGTGAGTGCCAGGATAGGCTCCAAAGCTACACAGAGAAACCCCGTCTCAAAAAACCAAGAAAAAAAAAAAAAAAAAGGAAACACTAACAGGGTAGCAAAGACTTCGGTCCTTGCAAAACTATGATGAAGGGAAAAGTAATTTTACAGTGGATAAATGTGGAATATTGTTTTACCTATGTAAAGATGTGTTACATTTGTTCATACTGCATTTGTTTAATGAATAAAAAGACATGTTTCCATTTCACCTTGCCTGCCTAAGGCACCTGATTGGTCTAATAAAAAGCTGAATGGCCAATAGCTAGGCAGAAGAGGGATAGCAGGGCTGGCAAGCAGAGAGAATAAGAGGAGACGAGAGGTGTAGGCTTGAGAAAAATGAGAGAAAGAGAAAGAGGGAGAAAGACAGGGTCACTAGGTACCAGAAGCCAGGCAGCTGCCAGCCAGACCATAGAGACAGCAGGAAAGGTAAAAAGCTCAGAGAAACCCTGGTACAGATAAGCATAGACACCTTCAATCCCATCCCAAGGTTTCTACCGTAACTGAATGGAACCTTCATCAAGGGCCTCTCCTGCCTGTCACAGTACTAAGCCTAGCTGTTGTCTACCACCCTTTCAGTGCTGCTCAAACCTGTAAGGCGTGGAGACTTCCACACTACTAAGTTTGGCTGCTAGTTTGAAATGCAGCCTTGGCCTGCTCTGGACCAAAGCTCTGTATGCTGACCCCGAGGAAACATCTCCCAATGTTGTTTGTCTCTTCTTAAGCACAGTTGACTCTTCGGGCCCCAGCTGATTAGAAAGCAGTTTCTTAATACAAAACATCAAATATGCAGTCTTCGAGGGACTCTCGAACTCCTCTGCACTGCTCTAGCATTCCCACCGTCCAAGCTGCCATACAACAAACAACCTATTCAGCTTTGTACTGTAGTGGCTTTTCCCACCCCAAGTTCTAAATGCTTCCACACTCTTCCCCCAACCGACACAGTCAGGTCTATCAGAGCAACACCTCACAGTGCTGGCACTCGTTTCTGTCTTAGTGAGATTCTGCCCCCATGATAAACATCATAACCAAAGTTTGGGGAGGAAGGCTTATTTCATGGAACAAACTGAAGCAGAAACCACTAAGCAATGGTCCTTACTGGCTTGCTTTCCAAGGCTTGTTCAGGTTGCTTCCTTTCCTTTGTTTTTGTTTTTTTGTTTCTCAAGAAAGGGTTTCTCCCAGTAGCCCTGGCTGTCTCTTCCTCGAAAGTGCTGGAATGAAAGGCGTGCACCACCACCGCTACCAGATTGCTTTCTATGTAGCCCAGAACCACCTGTCAGGGAGAGTATCACCTACAGTGGGCCGAGCCCTCCCACATCAGTTATCAATCAAGAAAATGCCCTACAGATTTCCCACGAGCCAATCTGATGGCATTTTCTCAGGGTTCCCTCTTCCCAGATGTCAAAAAACTAAACAGCACAATTTTCAAACGATCATTAAATTTACACACCTCGATTTTTTTGTTTGTTTGAGACAGGATTTTTCTGTGTAACAGCTCTGCCTGTCCTGGAACTAGCTCTGTAGTCCAGGCTGGCCTTAAACTCACTGAGATTCACCCCTCTGCCTCCCAAGCGCTGGGATTAAAGGTGTGTGCCACCACTACCCAGGCTTTTCCTTTTTTTCTTTTTTCTTTTTTTGGGGGGAGAGACTTCTTACAAGGCAACAATTCTAAAATTAAACCTACCTGTTTGTTACAATAAACTGAATAAAATCCCTTCAAAGACTAGTCCTTGGGGCTAGAGAGATGGCTTAGTGGTTAAGATCACTGACTGCTCTTCCAGAGGACCTGGGTTCAATTCCTAGCACCAACACGACAGCTCACAACTGCCTGTAACTCCAGGATCAAATACCCCCACACAAACATAGGCAAAACACCAATTAAGAAAAAAACAGAACAACAACAACAAAAAAACCTTACCTCGATCATGTAGAGCTAACAAAACTCGTTCATATAAGCAGGCTCTGTAGAGGTCTCCAGGAATAGGTTTTCCAGCCCAACAGTCAAGTTCAAGCTTCTCTGGGTCAGGGGCATGAGGATCAGGTTCAGCTAGAATATACCGGTAGCCATCTTTGTTAAATGGGTGTTCCAAAGGGTAGCCATGAGGGGGGAGACGCTGAGCAGAAAACAAAGGGTCACTGGAAAAAAAAGAAAAACTCAATGAAGAAACTGAAGCACTCTCTAGTTCACCTGTGTTCTATCCTGTAAGAAAGGCCTCTAAACCAGGCGGTGGTGGCACATGCCTTTAATCTAAGCTCTCTGGAGGCAGAGGCAGGCAATCTCTGACTTGGAGGCCAGCCTGGTTTACAGAGTGAGTTCCAGCACAACCAGGACTAAATAGAGAAACCCGGTCTCAATAAGAAAAAAGAAAGGACTCTGATTTGTTGTTTCTGGTGCTGAGTGTTGTAATTTAAGAAAAGCGGTTTGAGAGAGAAAGAAGCCTTGAGACAGGGTTCAAGCAGAGTGGCTTTTTTATTAGGGAAAGGGATCATAAAAAGAGGAAAGAAAAGGGGGGAGACTGGCTTCTGGAGACAGGAGCAGCAGGAGAAATGAGAGAGGAAAGGGGAGAGGAGAGGGAGAGAAAGAGAGAGGGAGGGGGAGAGAGAGAGGAGGATGGGAGGTAGACAGGGCCCTTTTAAAAGGGAACACAGTGAATATGCACAGATGGTGCTCTTAGTGGCTGCAGCTGAGGGTGTATCCTGTCAGAACCCCAAGGACAGGACAGTACAGATGCTTGGGAACCAAATCCAGGTCCCCTGCAAGAGCAACCAGTGATTCTGACCACAGCCATCTCTACGCCCCATTTCACTTAAGTTTCTGAGACATGGTGTTTTGTATCCCATGTTGCCCCCAGCCCACTATGCAGCTGAGAATGCACTGCAATTCTGATCCTCCTACTTCTACCTTCCCAGCATAAGGATTACAGGCTTGTGTCACCATCCCTGCTTTATCCAAGTCTGGGATCAAACCCAGGGCTTTGTATATGTTACAAGAACTCTACCAACTGACCTATACACATCTCCAGCCCCCTGGAGTTCATTCAGTATATAAATTAAGGGACAGAAACCAGGAGAAAGACGATGTACTCGTCTAAATCAGAAGTGACCCGGATTTCATCACCTCAGCTTTGGACAAAGAGAAAGGAAGATACATGAGAAAGGAGAGGCAGGAAGTTGAGGAGCTAACAGGAAGCTTTATTCCCTCTTCCCCATTCAGCCTTCTCAGGATCTCATAAGGGAACTTTATCCCCTAGAACAGAAGACACTATTATTGGGCCTTTTGTTGTTGTTTCAATGTTAGGAATTCAACCAGGAGCCTTACACATACCAGGCAAGCCCTCGACTACTAAGCGGTATTCCCAGTGCAAGGGTCTATTTTTACAGTAGTGGGTTCATGAAAGAGGACCTCATTTGAAGTTATTCTGCCTTACCAGGGACTCAGAACTCACCCCAAACCAACAAACAAAACCCCCATATTCTTGGCCCTAAGAATATGGTTCTTTTCCTTTCAGTGGATTTTTGTCTGCAGCAAACAAACAGGGATGAGGTTAAGTGGAGTGGGGGGTGATCTCACCTTCGGGCCTTCTTGGTGGTCCCTGTTGTCCCTCCATCCTGCTGTTTACGCTTGGCTCCTCTTCCTTTCCCACTGCTTCCTGCTGCGATTCCCCCTTTGAAGAGAAGGCAGACCATTCTCACAGAGCCACTATGGAGGCACAAGGGCACTCAAAGTCCATGGCAACTACCGTTCCCCAATGTGCATTTGTGTGACATCACTCAAAGGATTTTTTTTCTTTCCTTGATGTATACTGAATTTTAGCCTGGTTCTGAAAGAATCAGCTGTCTCTCACAGCCAACATCCTGGGCCAGTTCTGACAGTAAGTAAGGTCACATGAATCTAGTATGACTAGTATTTGTGTTACATCTTCAACCTTCCTTTCTTCTTAAAAAAAAAAAAAAATTAAATAACCAATTAACTAATTAATGTACATGGAAATCAGGATAACTTTGTAGAGTTGCATCTGTTGTGTCATGGGTTCCAGGGACTGAACTAAAGTCACCAGACTTATGCACCAAATACCTTTACTGGTCAAATCCTTTCTCCAGCCTTTATAATGGACTGTGACCAATGGGGTTGTGACACAAATGCATTAGTACTCAGATTCCAAGCACCCACAGCTAAAAAAGAATGAAAACAATTGCATGGGCTGTTTTTTTTTCCCCACTTAATACAAACATTGATGAAAATGTCCTTATTGTAGGTCAATATCCAATTGCTGAACTGCATAGTACATTTCATAAACATATAAAGGCGTTGTCTACTTAAAGCACTTGAATATCCAACAAGACAAAAGTACACCAAACAGAAAACAAAAACACTAAAAAGGTGTTTCTCTCCAGTGTTTGAAAATTCATCATTGGTATATATGACTCAAGAATGGAGGCTTTAAATTTAGTTTTTAGTTCCGTATCAACATACTTAAGTCTATGCCAATGAATTCAATAAGTTACATGAATCTGGTTTGTGGAATTAAGAGCAAATAAAACAATTATATATTTTATATTAGAACACTTAGCTACATATTCAGGCCACAAGAAGTATTACCTTATGTGTTTTGTTGTAAATTTTGTCCATTTTATCATGCCTCTCAGTTTGCTTTTCTCTTTCCACAAAATGTCCCTGAACTGCAGGAAAACACCTTTATGTAAACAACTGCATAGAGTACTATATGTAAATTTGGACAAGCTTGGAAATTATCAGCATTTCTGCTGCAATAAAAAGACATGAAGGGCAGGTCATATTCTGCACACACAATACCAGATTAATGCAGAATGTCCTTTTATGAACCTGGCTGTTATTCACACAGCTCATAAAAGGTTTAATGCTAAACAATTGTGATGACATAACTATCAACCAAAACCTGCCAAATCCTCTACTACCATTTAGGGCTGCTTCAACAAAGTAAGCAACATGAAGAGGACTACTGGCTGGCTATGTTAGGCAGAATATGACAACATCAAGCTTTTATTCCCACCATTAAACTGGAACTACAGCTTCATATAAGTGCCATCACACCACTTTCACAATGCTTTAAAATCATGTAGTTTAGCTTCTACCAAAGCTCAGCAAAAAGCACTTCAAACCACAAGATACTTAAGTCTGAGGCTGAAAGAAGACAGAGAGGAATTCACCTCCCAAAGTGGCTCCACCTGTAAGGACAGAAGCGGCACTATGTATTGTCCAACATCAACAGTTACGAGGGGAAGCATGGTGTGGGATAATAAATACACTTGTATTTCCAACACAGCTTAGTATGTTAACTGGACAGAATTTATATATTTAGATGCTGCAATTCTAACAGACAAGTTAATGAATGATGCCATGTGTGGGATGTATATCCACCAAACTACCTCCCAGTGCTCCCCCTCCCATTAGACTGCAATGAAGAGAATTCCCCCTATTCATTAAAGGGATTGGGGAGGGGTGCCACAGTGGGTGATCCATACAGAAATTTGTCATATGAATATGCTGCAATTCTGGGCAAGAAAAATTAGATAGACAAAGGCACCTCACCAATCGATAGGTGAGATATGGAAAAGGGTGAACAGCAAATAAATCCCCCAAAGTAAGTGTTTCTTATGATACAGATGTGGAACCTAACAAAGTCTAACCTTGAAAGTCTACAGCAATAGTACATGAAATCTGTGTCATTTCAGTCTAAATTGAGTCTGGGTGGATGTATATCATTAATGCTCACATTCTAGAGATTCACAGTACATCCCATTATGTGTATGACTAAGGTGTGATTAGTTCTACTGAGATCAAAATGTTGTAAAGTGACAAAAGTACCCTCCCCCACTATCATCAAGTATTTGGCTAGCTGCTGAAATCTGATTTTTGAACATAGAACACCCAATTCTAGGCAAGGATTTCATAGTCATTCATAATCTTTCAACAGGATATTTAAGCACATACCATTTAGGTTCCCACTAGCAGACACAGCACTGCTTTGTTTTTGGTTGTCATAAGCAGGACCAATGTTACTAAGATCCTAGAAGAAGAAATAGCCTAGTAAAAAAAAGGCCACATGAGCAAATTAATCTGCAATTGCAAAAAATAAAAAAAAAAGAAAAAAGAAAATAAAAAGCAGACAAAATTAGAGCACAGAAATGAAAGCCATAATCCTAAGAAGCAAGCTTGCAAGTTCCCCAAGTCAGATGCTCTGGGAATCCATGAAGGAGCATGTGTGTAGCCGGTGGAGGGAGCTGCACAGCAGGCAGTGTGCTTAGGTCCCCTCACTCTGTTCTCCAGGAATTCTGGCCCCCTTAGTCCTATCTTTCCATTTATAAGAAAGAAATCTGAACTTCCACTGGCCATTCTATAAAAGTGGCCACCAAGATATAACCCCAGCTCTTCAAATCTACACAGACAGGGATCAGCTTCTACCTCAGCGGCTAGGAGGCCAAGAACAGAAAGTTCATGAGTCTATGCCACACTGACAGATATCATCTCAAAAACAAAAAAGTAGCAAATATAAAAGATTTTGCATTCTTAGTTGCCAATGTGTCCTTTGCTATACAACAAAAAAAAAAATGGGAATTTCTTTTTCTCTTAAAGGTTCTAGCAACACATTCCAAAATTTTCTCAAAAAATTTCACCTCAAAAAATGTTTTTAGAAAGCCAGTCATTGGTGGCACACATCTTTGATCCCAGCACTCCAGAGGCAGAGAGGCAGGTAAATCTGTGAGTTCGAGGCCAGCCTGGTCTGCAGAGCGAGTTTCAGGACAGCCTCCAAAGCCGCAGAGAAAGCTTGTCTCTGTCTCCAAAAAAACAAACAAACAAAAAAAAAAAAAACCAAACAAAAGCCAAAGACATATTCCATTGCCAGGAGGTGATGCCTTTAGTTGCAGCACTCAGGAGGCAGAGGCAGGAGGATCTCTGTGAGTTCGAGACCAGCCTGGTTTACAAGAGCCTGTTCCAGGACAGCCTCCAAAGCCACACAGAGCAACCCTGTCTCAAAAACAAAACAAAAAACAAAACAAAAAAGAAAAACAAAAAATGTTTTTAGAAGCAAAATTTCAGGTAACAGGAAAATTAGAAAAAAATTTACAAAAACTAAGCCCTGACACTGAGGAACAACCAGAATCAAAACTGGTAGCTCACACATGTAGCCCTAGCAAGTGGAAGGCAGAGGCAGGAACAACTATCACAAGTTTAAGCTAGCCTGAGATACAGTGAGATCTTGTCACAAAAAAGTTAAAGTGCTAGTCACTAGTTAAGGTGAGCATTTTCTCCAGGTATCAATAACCATTCATTTGGAGTCCACCATGTTCTGAGCATGTAATAGCAGTGTGTTTTTGACAGCCAGATGCAAACAATTCTGTGTGCATGTCTATGTACTCATGTGTGTTGGGAGGGAGGGGTATGCACAGAGCCAAGCACACTCATGTGAAGACCAGAGTTCAGTAGCAGTGTCTTCCTCTGTCAACCTGCTTTTTTGTATGTGTGAGTTCAAGTGCAGACAGAGAATTAAAGGGCAATTTTGCAGGGCTGGGCAATGGTGGCACACACCTTTAATACCAGTACTAAGGAAGCAGAGACAGGTAGATCTGAGTTCGAGGCCAGCCTGGTCTACAGAATGAGTTCCAGAACAGCCAGAGTTACACAGAGAAACCCTGTCTTGAAAAATCAGGGTTTTGCAAACTGGCTCTCTTTTTCTACCACGTCACCCAGAGATCAAATTCAGTTCATCAGGCATGTGTGGCAAGCACGTTTCCCCAGCAGAGCCATCTCACTGGCTCTACCTTAGAGACTGTCTCTTCACTGAGCTGTGAACCTGGCTGGCGCTGGCCATTTTGGCTAACTGGCCAGGAAGCTCTAGATCTGTCTCTGTGTGTCCCATACAATGATGGGCTTATGGATGTATGCTGCCAACTCCTGGCTTATGTGGGGTATTACTGTGAACTGGGGACATGAACTCAGGTTCTCATGTCTGCATAACAAGAACTTAAGCATGGAGCCATCTATCCAGCCTCTTACTTTTTTTTTTTTTTTTTTGAGACAAGGCCTCATGTAGCCCGGGCTGGCCTTAAACTCATGATCCTTTTGTTTGTACCTCCCTAGTGTACTACCATGAGTACATCACGACCCCATGACTCTATCAACCCAGCCACATCTCCAGCCCAATGTAAACAAACTTGCTTCACTACTTCTATATGGCTTCTGATAAAAAAGGAACACTGGGCTGGACAGATGGCTTAGTGGTTAAGGGCACTTGCTACTCTCCCTGTGGACCCAGGTTCCCAGTACCCACCACAGCTCACAACTGCCTGTAACTCTAGTTCCAGGTGCTCTGCTCCAACTCCCTCTTCTGGCCTCTACAGATACTACATGTAGTGCACATAACCTCATATACATAGAGACAGAGACAGACAGACAGACAGACAGACAGACAGACACACACACACACACACACACACAGAGAGAGAGAGAGAGAGAGAGAGAGAGAGAGAGAGAGAGAGAGAGAGAGAATATGAAGGAAGGAAGATTAATGTACCTGATCCAGAAGTCCGAATTTGGGATAATCATCTTCCGGGTCTTTGCTTCCTGGGTCGGGATGTTCCTTTACCAAGAACACATCTCTTTCCTTACTCTAAAAAGAAACAGTATCTTAGTAATAATGAACTTTTTTTTTACTTAGAAGTGCAGAAGATGTTTAGTCATCAGCTCCAAATATCAATTCCTAATTGTACTGTCAAAACCTTAAGGTTCCTCTTATTAGAAAATTAAGCCAGGCCGGGCCGTGGTGTTGAACGCCTTTAATCCCAGCACTAGGGAGGCAGAGGCAGAAGGATTTCTGTGAGTTCAAGGCCAGCCTGCTCTACAAAGTGGGTTCCAGGACAGCCAGGACTTCTCAGAGAAACCTTGTATCTCAGAAACAACAACAACAACAAAAACAAACAAGGAAGGAAGGAAAGAAGGAAGAAGGAAGGAAGGAAGGAAGGAAGGAAGGAAGGAAGGAAGGAAATGCCCACAAGAGGTGCATAAAGAGAGCCCATATGGGCCTGGGGAAGTAGCTCTACAGAGCTCTGCCTACAGTGCATGAAGACCTGGGTTCCATCCCTAGCAGCACAAAAACACTAGGTGAGGTGGCATACGACTGTAACTGCACGCTGGAGGAGAGGAAGGCCAGAAGTTCAGTCACCTGTGTCTACAGACTGAGTTCAAGGCCTGGCTACAAGAGACCTAATAGAAGAAAGACAGACAGACAGATAGAACAATGACAGCAGTGCTTCAGAATCCTCCTCTCCTCTCATGGCAGCTGACCAATGACTTCTCCCCAAGGGCTCTCGTTAATTCTGTGTTCAGAACAAGGCTTTTTTTATTTAACCAAAAATGAAAAAATAGCCTCCGAGTTTAGTTTAAAATTAAATTGTACAAGTGTGGTGGACAGAGGGCTCAGAGGTTAAAAGCACTTGCTGCTTTCCCACAAGACCCAGGTTTAGTTCCCAGCATCAGCATTAGATGGCTCAAAACCACCTCTAACTTTAATTCCCAGGGATCCCAAAAGCCCTTTCTGGCCTTCATGGGCACTGGATACACATCACACATCACACATCACACATCACACACACACACACACACACACACACACACACACACACACACACCACACACACACATCACACACACACACAGAGCTCATGCACATATATATATAAAATACATAAATCTTAAGAAAACAAAACAAACCAAAAACAACAACAGCAGCAGCAGATAAGGTTTTCAGCACATAAAAGAAATTTTAAAGAATCATATTTACCTAAGACACTATGTTACTAACTTATGTGAAAAATATTAAAATTTGAAACTACCTGTATCTCATCCAACGACTAATATCAAATTGTTTGCATTTTCTCAGCATCCCATTATTTCAGACTAAACAGAAATTAACTATTAAAAACAATACTGGCTTTCTGAAACTGATCATGTCTATTCATTTTTAATTTACTTACCATTGTTTTAACAATGTTATTGGGCCAAGTCATTTTTCCAGGTCTCTGTCTGGTTGTCATACACTCCCAGTATTTATCAATAAATGGTATAATATCCTATTTTTAAAAAAATAAAATATATTAAGAATTATAATTGTTTTCAAAGTTTTACACACACACATGTAGCCTTTTTAAAAGATCTCCCACCAATCAAAACAAAGATCTGTCTGTAGCTTTTAAGTATTGAACAAATAATCAATTGTTCAAAAACAATACCTGGCCTGCAGGGTGGCTCAGTTTCAGTCTCAGCACTTGGCTTGGGCAGGAGGTGGCTGTGAGTTTCAGGCCAGGGCAACAGAGTAAAGACTGTCTCAAGCAACAACAACCACCACCAACCAAATATGTAGATTATGGCGATTTCAAGTTAAATATATAACAGATTTTAGCTACTCAGGACTCATAGTCCACTTGGGGATAAGTTGTACTCCCTTCCTTGGTTGTCAACTCCTGAGCTTTTGTTTCTGTGTCCTGAGAACGTTTCCTTCTGGACACCCTGCAAATCTGTCTTCTTTGTAACTAAGAGAGTTTTGCACCGTCTAAGCTTGCTGTGTAGAGTTGTATTCTTGCTCTTAATATTTAGAATTACTGATCACTCAGAACCATAAACTAGACACCCTTAACTCATCAGTCTTTTCTTATAACCTTTATAAGCAGAGTCATGGTATGAATTTAAAAATTTCAGAATCTTCGCTGGTCAGGCTCCTTTCCATCTACTCTGATGGTGATCTGGCTTACCAGCTCTTACATGACAGATACAATGGCTGGCCTTGATTTTCTGGCATCACATCACCACCACTTTAGATCATCTTCCAAAACCCACTGCCAGTACAGTATTTACAGAACAGAAAAGGTGACAAAGCTATCCTGGTCAGATGTGGGGCAATCAAATGTCAGAAATTCAGTGGACAATAAAGCAGTTATGTATTATTGCTTCTAGGGCCACAATGAAAGAAATGTGAGATTAAATCACACACAAGAGAGAACGATAAGACCCAGTAAGCACAAGCTGAGTGAGCTGATGACCTCTAATACAATGTGTTGTATAGTATACTTTTCATTCGGACGACTACACTCTACGACAATGATAAGAATGACAGTACAGCAGTGCGTCTTGGTGGCTCCCATCCTTCCCATCTTGCCTGTAGCTTTGGGCCTGCTGCCCCATAATGGCCGTTATCTAGCTAGTGAGCAAAAATTTCTTTTTTTTTTTTTTTTGTGCAGAGACAAGGATGAGGTCAGAAACCAGGCAGTCAGCTCTCTCTGTTCTCTCTAGGGAAAGAAGCAAAAGACTGAAGCAAGAAGAGACTGAGTCTGAAGACTCCAAGTTCCAGGTCAGCCAAGGCCATATAGAGACTGGTTTATACCAGACTTGATTATGGTTTAGATGACTTGCTTGCTTCCAAAAAGCCAACCAAATTTATTTAAGGATTCGTAATACTGCTAATGACATCTATTAGGAAACTGGTAAATTATAATGTCCATATGTGGAAAAAGTAAGGTAACTACTAGATGATTTACTCATAAAAACTGAGGAGACTATATTTGTTAAAAGAGGGTATCTAGAAGCTTCATTTAATTTTTTTTCAGCATATTACAATTACATTCATTCTAACTTTACCTTATCTTTGGAGAACATGGTTTTTGGATGTTCATCCTGTGTTCGAGACTGCCATGTTAGGTTCGCCAAAGCACTAAGGCACATTTCTTTTAAATCTACCAAAAAAAAAAAAAAAAAAAAAAAATGTATCTGTAATACTATAATACTTGATTTCTACCGACAAGAGCACATTCAACACAGTAGGTATGATACCTTCAACTTGACACAATCAAAATAACCTGAAAAGTCTCAGTGAGGGGTTAGGTACATAGGGCTGTACTGTGGGCACATGTGGGGGTATTACCTTGATTATGTGGACTTCAGGCTTGCTCACTACAGGTAGTACTATTTCCCGGGGAAGGGGACCCTGACTATACACTACAAAAAGCAAGCAGAGCTTAAGCATACTGGTCTGTATTTCTAATTATGAGATCAGTGTGGCCAGCTCCTTTGAATGCCTGCTGCTGTGACTTCACTGTCATGATGGACCATGACCCGGAACTGTGACCCCCCCAAAAAAAAACCTTTTCCTTACCCTGCTTTTGTCAGAGTATTTTTATCACATCAACAGGTAGAATATGGGGGTCTACAAAACAATAACAGCAGCAGTCAAAAGTAATAATTGGTTTGAAACGGGCAACTTCAATTACTCATCGTGAAATAAGTTAATTCTATCCAGCTTTTATCAAAGGTATCCTAAGTGTGCTAACACAGATAACCCTTTTCTTCCCAAGGGACAATCTTTTTTTTTTTTTAAAGATTTATTTATTATGTATACAGTGTTCTGCCTACATGCCTGCTGTCCAGAAGAGGGCACCAGATCTCATAACGGATGGCTGTGAGCCACCATGTGGTTGCTGAGAATTGAACTCAGGACCTCTGGAAGAACAGTCAGTGCTCTTAACCTCTGAGCCATCTTTCCAGCCCCCCAAGGGACAATCTTTTAAAAATACTCCAGAGTTATTCTTACTTGCTTGCTTCCGGAGAAAGTAGGTATTCCCACTGTGATGGCATACATTGCAATGGAAACTGTAGTTGGTCATAAAAGGTAGACATGATCTGTGGAGGAGCCAAATGACACAAAATTAGTGAACCGTCAAACACATTTCTGTGCCTTTTTTTTAAAGAAAAAAGTTAACACATTTTTTTCTTCCTTTAAAAAGTTTATTATTGCTGTTGGGTGTATAAATGATGTGTATATGGGCACACTTGCCAAGGTGCATATGTGAGAGTTGGGAGGCCAAGCCTTTGGCTCAGTTCTCTCCTTCCATCTTCATAAGGATTCCAGGGAATCAAACTCGGGTTGCTAGGCTTGCATGGGAAGTGACTATCCACTGAGCTATCTCACCAGCTCACTCTTTGGCTTGTTCTGAGATAGGGCCCTGGTAGAAAATTAGCTAGAGTCCATACTGATTGAATTTTCAATCCTCCTGTCTTAGCCTCTTAAGTACTTGAGTTACAGGTATGTACCACCAGTGCCACTCAATGTACTTTTTTTTTTCTTTCCAAGGTCTTGTGGTACTGCCCCTAGCCTGATATTCAATATGCAGCCCAGACTGCCCTCAAAATTTAACCACAAAGACTGACTCAAAGACAGGAGGATTTCTGCATTTTTTTTTTAAAAATCTGAAACCTTTCTTAAACTATGTTTATTTTGTGCACACTGGTGTTTTGCTGCATGTACCTCTGTGTGATGGTGTCCAATTCCCTGGAACTGGAGTTACAGACAGTTGTGAACTGCCATATGGGTGCTGGGAATCTAAACCAGGTCCTTTGGAAGAGCAGTCAGTGATCTTAACCACTGAGTCATTTCTCCAGCCTCAGATTTCTACAATTATAAGGTCAACTTGGTCTATGAAGGATGTTCCTGGCCAGCCAAGGCTACACAGTTAGAGCCACCAACTTAATGGTTACTCACACTGAGTCAAAAATGCTCACCTATAAGCTATTGAGCTACTCCACAGAAATGACCTTTCACTCTTGATCCAAATAGGTACATGTTTAGATTTTTTTTTTTCCCTGAAAAAAGTATAAGATACCTAGAAGGGTAGATTTTAAGCAACCAGAAAGGAAACAACGTATGCTTTAGGCATGAAAAAACTCACTGATTATCTCATTGTTCTTGAGAAGTTAAAAAAAATTTCTTTCGGATGATGGTGACCCCATCCAGGGTTTTGCACACTGTAGGGCAAGTAAGTACACTACCACTGAAATACGTCACACCTTTCAAGTTGTAAATATCATACCCAAAATACACAAGACTTAAAATATATTGCCTTAAAATATATAAATCTACTTATATAATCTCTTCTTGTTGTATAGTCTTACTTCCCGATCGTTGTAATTTTAAAAGCAAGGAGAATGCCCATGGTCATACCTAATAGGACTGTGCTTCCAATACTCAAAAATACACTAAATGACAGCAATTCTTCAGTCAGCATACTGGTCACTGAACAGGGACTAAAGTGAGCACAGAATACTACCCACTGATTTTTGTATACAAACTGAATCAACAGTTGAATATGTTGAAGAAAATGTTTTTCCTTTGGTGTTTTTAAAACACCCTTCTTTTGAGACTCTGATTATACAATTTCCCTTTCTTCCCTCTCTCCAAGTATCCTGTACAACCCCTCTTCAAATTATTTTACAATTACGGTTTTTGGTTTTTTTTTTGCTGTTGTTGTGTGTCTGCCTATTATATGTCTGTGCACAACTCAAATGCAGGGCCTTGCAAAAGCTGGAAGAGGGTAGCAGGTTCCAGGTAACGAGTTCCCTGACCACTGTGAGCCACACCATATGGATGCTGGGAATCAAACCCCCATCCTTGGGAAGAGCAACCGGTGTTCTTAACTGCTGAGCAGCCCTCCAGCCCCTTGTTGAAATGTCACACGGCACACTCCACAGGTTCATGAAAAGTACTCACGACGTGTCTATTCCGAAGGTGTCAGCTGTAAACCATTTTGTACATATTCCACACTGCAACTCCACCTCTCCCAATTGTCGCCCATTCTCTTCATCCACTGAGCCAGCCTGGGTATCCATCACTTCTGAAGTATCCCCGGCGCCTTCCTGGAGGCACGGGGCAATAATCGAATCAAACAGGTTGACTACGTTTTTAAAATTAGATTAAAAAGTTAAAAACAAAATCTAGCTTGCCTTCCAGGGGCCTCAGAATATATACTTACTATAGTATCTTTTCCATTAGAAGATTCTGTCTCCAGACCACTGACATCAACCAAGTTTGCATCCCTATAAAGAAAGTTAAGAGGTCTCAAGAGAAAGAAACTTCGGAATACTTAATCCGAAGCAAAACAGCAAACAAAAACCGCTGAACCAAATACTGATGGACTTGGACTGGATGCCCAGGGAAACAATCAAAATATTAGGGAGGGGGGTGTAGTCAAGACAAACACAGCGAAGCCTAATTGGTCATTACACACGTGTACATGTCTTGGAGTTGTTCCCGGGGGAAAGAGTCACAGGGATCTGGGTTTCCTAGTGCTTTCAGAAGGATTGTGACTTCTCCCATACCGGTACTGCGGGGAGGTTTCCTTCCTGGGCTATTTCAGGAACTAGTCTTAGTCCTAAGGGGTGCAAGTGCGGGAGAGAGGGAAACACGCTTGGCTCACGCTGGTGCCGATGAAAATGTGGTCTGAGGTGCAGTTCGGAGCCAACCCGCCGAGCAGCCTGCTGGGTTGCAGAGGGTACGGGGCAGGTGGAGCCGTTGGCCGCAGGGCCCGGGTCCGGAGGGCCGCAGCGGGGCGGCGCGAGCCTCGGGATTCCACGAGGGGCGGGCCCTCCCTCCTGGCCCGCGCTCGCGCGGGCTGCAGACGCCTTACCCACTCTCAGCCTCTGCAGAGCTGGGCTCCGCTCCCGGAGCAGCAGACGGCCCCTCTCCGGCCCCAGCGGCCACCTGCTCCGTCTCTGCCTCTTCTGCCGCTGTGGCACTTGCAGGCGCTCCTGCACCACTACCGGAGGCCACTCCAGGGCCAGGACCTGCTCCAGTCGCAGCCATCGCTGCCACTTCGCGCGCTCTCGCGAGAGCTGCGTCTGTTCCGTGAGTTGCCGCCCGGGTCTGCGTTCTTAAAGCGGTAAAGACCTTTTTTGCTGGGCCCTCCGCCGGCTTGTGAATCAGGCACTTTGAGCCCGCCCGCTTTAAGGCCGGAAGAGCGTTGCGCGCCCCAGAGAGCGGGTGTTTGAGGGAAGCGGCGCGCTAGGTCTGTCATTGGCGTTCCCTAGGACCTACGTAATTTATTAAAAACAAACAGACACAAAATCCTGCTCACTTTTTTTTCGTGGCTGAGAGTGGAAACCACCGCGCGTAAGAGGGTTTGAGGGCGTCGCCTTTACACCGTTTTGTGCAGGGCGCCCGACCGTTCGTCGTGAAACGTCAGAAGCTTCCAGAAAGGCCGGCCCCCACTAGCTCGCTCACACCTGTTGATAGCTGGGGTTCTCTCGGCGGCTCGCCACGCCGAGCCCGCTTCCTGATGGCTTTGGAGAGACCGCAGATTCCAGCCCCGAGGGTGGAGAGCGCGAGAGTGAACATCGGCCCGGGGAGGGTAGCTAGGAGCATCGTGCGAGCGGGGGGGTGGAGGGGGGGCGAAGCCGGGCCAGGAAGTTCAGACGAAAGACTGAGAGGGCTTGTTAGCTCGTAGTTGAAGCCCTGGAGTAGTGAGCGGAAGGAACTATATGGTCTCCAAAGTCTAGGATATAGACTGTAACAGCACCGCCCCCCCCTCACACATAACCCTAACAAAATCCTAACCCCGACCCCAACCGCAACCCCTAACCCCCAGCCCCAACCCTAACC